CAGGTCGAGGCTGCGGTGGCTGGGAGCGGCCACTGCACTCCAGTCTGGGTGACAGAGTGAGACCCCGACTCAAAAAAAAAAAAAAAAGAAGAAAACAAGCAACCCAATAAAGCATGGGCAAAGGGTGTGAAAAGATTCTTCACCAAAGAAGATATGTGTGTGGCAAATAAAACACAAGAAAAATCCTGAAGAACACAAATCACTCTATAAAAAAGATATCTGCACACGCATGTTTATCACAGCGTTGTTCACAATAGCAAGAACCTGGAAACAGCCATGCTGCCTGTCAAAAGAGGACTGGATTTAAAAAATGTGGTACATATACACGATGGAATACTATGCAGCCATAAAAAAGAACAAAATCACGAATTTTGCAGCAACCTGGATGGAACTAGAGTCTATAATACTGAGTGACCTCTCACAGAAACAAAGATCCGAGTATCACATGTTCTCACTCATATAATGGATCTTAAACATCCAATGCAATACTATACGAAAATGACTGACCATACTGGGAAACTATGGTGGGGGGAGGGAGATGGGATTAACAGTAGCAAATATCTGTCTGGGAACGGGGAAACACCCCATATCAACAGGGTGCCTGAATGAAACACAATTGTATACCTAACCCTTAACTGTACCCCACAACTTCATAATAAAAAAAAAAAAACACAAGAAAAAGTGTCAACATTAGAAAATGTACATTAAAACCACAATACACCACTACATACCTATTAAAATGGCAAAAAGTAAGCAGGTGACGATATCAAGTATTGGAAAGAAAGTGAAGAAACTGGAACTCTTCTACACAGGTGGCGGGATATACAATTACACAAACATCTTGGGAAAAAGTCTGGCAGTTTCTTGAAAACACACACACACCTCCCAAATGATTCAGTCATTCCATTCCTAGGTATTTCCCCAGTAGAAAAGGAAATGTATGTCTGTACCAAGGCTTTTACACAAATGCTCATAGCAGCTTTATGTGTAATAGTCAAAAGCCAGAAACCTCCCCAAAGCCCATTAGCATACGAATAAATAAGCAAATTAGGGTACTTTCATACAATGGAATACTAATCAACAATAACAGTTAGTGAACTATTAATATACATACTGCATAGATGACTCTCAAAATAATTGTGTGGATTGAAAGAAGTCACACAAAGAAGAGCACATATTGCATGATTCTGTTTATAAAAAGTTCTAGGAAATGCGAACTGATCTCTAGTGACAGGGCACAGACTGCTGATTGGGGAGAGGGTGTGGGAGGCTAGGGAGGGGCATGAGGAAGCAGTTGGGGTGATGGATTGTACACTGTCTTAATCATGGGGATGGATTCATGGGTATTTACACATGCTGAAACATACTGAACTGTATACTTAAAATACATGCAGTTTACTGTATATCAATTATACCTCAATAAACCTGTTTTTTTCCTTTTAAAAGGTACCATGCTTCTGGCCAAAACAGATTGGATTTAACCTCCTGATTCAAGCAACTTAGAAAACAAGACCAAATATATAAAGCAATGGTTACCAGACACTGAACAAATACACAGCTCAGGGGAGAGACCCCTCAGAGAGGGAAGGAACAAAGGAGGTGGCTCAGTGCTGGCCCAGCTTGCTGTCTGGAACAAATGTCCAGGCCTCAGCACAGGGAGAGAAAAGGCCATGGTCTCTGTGAGACAAGAAGACAGAGGTTGGAGTTCAGGGAGGTCAAGGGGCTAAAATTCATGGGACAGGGTACAGAAGAGGAAGGAGCAGCAGAGAAAGCTCCAGAAATGTGCAAAGCGGTAACGCACTGCGGCTTCAGCTAAGACCTGACCCATGCACTCATGGGAGGAAAGGGGGAGGCTTACTGGAATGAAGCAGGAGAAACAGTCCCTGAAGCTCACACAGGCTGACCTGCGGGAAGACCACCCAACCATGGGACATTGAAGGGTCTCAGCAGGGTGCTGCCTCAAACAGTGGGGCCAAGTTAGCCCAAGCCTAAAGGTCGTATGGACCAGCTCTAACAAAACATAAAAGCAAGCCTCAAAAAGGATCAAGCTGATTGCAAGTAACTTATCATAAGCCCATAAATATTTAAAGAAAGAAAGACTCCAGCATCCCACAATGTATAATTCATAGTAACCGTTAACCAACCAAAAATCATCAGGCCAAGAGTTAATTTTACTGTATGTTAATTAAAGAAATAAAATAAAATAGCTAGCTTAAAAATATAATAATCTAAGCTTCCATCATAAAAAATTACAAAGATTAAATTAAATTGGAAATAAGCAGCAGAAAGTAAGAAATAAAAACATTAAATCTAAATAAAAATGAAACAGAAAACAGAAAAGCAAGTGTGATCTTCTAGCCACACTGGTCAGAAAAAAAAAAACAAAAACCCAAATTATCAGTACCATGAATTAGAGAGGGAACATCACTACTGATGCTACAGACATTAAAAGAATAATAAAGAAATATTATGAACAAGTTTATGCCAGTAAATTTAACAGTTTAGATGAAATGACAAATTCCTAGAAAGACATAAACTACCAAAGCTCACTCAAGAACCTTGGTCAGCAAGTTCAACTGAAAGAGGCAGGACATGTGACAGGATCTGGGCATATTCAGGGGCTATGAGTGTCATGTTAGACGAACTACTTCAGGGTGTGGCTGAAACACCCGGGCAAGAGTCTGCCGTACATATCCAGAAGAAGCTAAAGACTACAGAGCTAGAACAAGGGGAGTGCAGGGCATAAGGGCCAGGGGAATGGTGTGCACAGTGTGAGTCAGTCTGCTTCATGGGGTTCGGTTTACCCCATAACTGCAGGGAACTGCAGAGCCATGGGTGTGAATGAGACCAGAATGCACCATCGGCAGGACTTGACACCTGCCATACTTCTTCTAAAAGCCTCAGCCTGGGTCTACAAGCCTGTGCATGAGCCCAGTGCCTTACACCCAAGCAGAGCCAGCAAGGCCGGTCCTGTGTATAACAGGAAAGGCCTGAAAACGGCATCCATGCCATTATGTAAGGGGATGGCAGAGCAGATGGCAGCACAAACACTGATCAAAAAGAACCCAGCAGCCCTGCACAGACATGAAGCCAAGTGTCAACACAAGAGGATGAAAAGAGCAAGGTAGAAAACAGGCAGTGATCACCTCCACTCAGGGTTGCAGAGCAGGCACAGGAATAACGCCATGCCGACCCCAACTTGGGTTTGTCTGTTTTTAAAAAGACGTGCGAGAAAATGGTGGCAGAAACTGCCTTTGAAGAGGAGCGCTGAAGCCAGAAGTGGGGGAGACCATCACGTGCTGTGTATCCTTCTGCCATCCATCGGCCAGTTTACCTGATTCACGAACCAGGTGTTGAGGGCATTTTAATGTCTCTAGCCATAGGCTTTCTCTGTGGAAGCCAACTCCACCTAATCCCAGTAAGCTTATGAGAAACCTGCTAAAACATCCCTTGATGCAACGTCTCTTCTGTACCAAGCCCAGCTCTTGGCAGGGGCTAGAAGGAATTTTCCTGGATTCTTCTCTGAAGAGACTCTGATGTGGACATTTCAGGATGTGCCCATGGCAGGCCAGGTGGGGCAGACACCAGCGACTGTTCCCAGTAGGTCCCAGTAGGCCGTAGGAGGGGGGAGTGAGCCCCAGTGAAACCTGTGCACTCCACGGCAGTTGGACTCCAGCCCTGCAGCCTCAGCAGGGAAGCCAAGGAACCACACCTTTCTTCAGAAAGGAAACCTACACCCCACAAAATCCACCCAGGCTCTATTTTCGCTCTGAACCCAGAGCAAGAATGCCAAGGGCTATAAATAGCAACACTAAGAGGACAATTTGACTGATTTCAGTTCTGATGTTAGGAAAGAGGTTGGATGCCAAGTTGGTTGTAAATCAAGGGGTCGAAAGAAAACCACAGTGTGAACACAGTCATCCTGGGTCAGACAGTCAATACTTCTACCTCCCCGGCTTTCTCCATATTGCCTGAGTAACCAATTCCTGTGCTCAGTCAGTAGAAAAACACCTGAGAAACCCTAACAAGGCTGAAGGGGGGTTTTGTAAGAGTCGCCAAGGCCAGGAAATTCCTCATGGAAAGCAACTTCCTTTTCCTCCAAGCAGCAGGGAGAGTGCTGAGGACACAGGGCACAGCAGGGAAGCCGGCAGGTGAGCGGCTCACCTTTATTGTGGGACATGGCGTAGAGGAGGCAGAGCACGAACAGGGCGTGGTAGTCGTCGTCTGGGCTGTCCAGGGCATGGTACACCATATCCAGGAAGGGTCTGGAAAGAGGAGGGGAATGTGTGAGCCTTGTGCCCCTCTCCCACGCATGGGGACCAGCTGCCCCTGCCCCGCATGCCCACGCGCTTGTTCAGACCACCAGCGTGTAGGGAGTCCACTGTGTGCCTGGTCCAGCACCAAGACTGGGGATACAAAGACAAATGAGAGACAGGCTTTGCCCATGGAAACTGGCCAAGGAGCTCACTTAGTTACTCAATAATCCTCCGCCAGGTGTTCCATACACTGGGTATCAATGATACAAAGCTTCTGCTCTTTGACATTCCCACACCAGTCAGTAGAGAGAGAGAACAAACAGGCATCACTGCAAAGGGATGTGTGGCACAATGGAGAAAACCGGGCAGTGTGGTAGGTTAACAATACAAGACAAGGAACAAACAACAATCCGAACAAGTTCAAGAACACGGGCCCTGGAACAAAACTGTCTGGGTTCAAATTCTGATTCTGCCCCCTCTTAGCTGGAAACCTGTAGGTAAGTTACTTAAAACCTCTCCATGTCCCCATCTGCAAATGGGAATTCGAGCCCTGTGGGATTACAGCGAGGACACAAATACAATGGCGACCGTGGAGCACACAGCACAGGTCTGGCACTGTGGAAGGTGCCAGAGGAGGGGAGCTGCTATTTGATTGTTACTTTTAATATTCCAAGGGAACTTTGTGATTTCATTGTGGCAGGGTCCTGGCCTGGCAGTTTCTTGGACCAACTTGCTCTGACTGCTAGGAATCGATAGTGAGGTCTCTCTCCCCTGATGCTCTGTGGGTGAGAGCCACAGAGCGGCTGCAAAGATTGGAAGCCGCACATCCTGAACGCTGCCTTTCCAGGGAGGGCGTGGCCCAGAAAGACTCTCCCACATGAGCACAGGAAAGCATGCACTGTCCTGGCCCACAGGCAGAAGGCTCCGGCCCAGTAACTGTCTGTGGCTGCCCGCTCTGGACACCACGCTGAGGCCAAGAGAGCAGGGTACCTCACTCAGTGACCAAGAACATTTAATCTCTGGAAGGAAGCACAATCTCCTACCAACATCGTTGTGACAGCACCTGGGAGTGACACAGGGTAGTGTGGAAAAACTATATAAATTGTTAGCTGTGTAGCCTTTGATACTGTTTTGAATTCTGAACTCTATAAAGGTGCCTCTGATATACAATATTAAATTTTAAAATGCACAAGAAAAACTAGCGTAAATGTACTTGTCATAACATTTCAAATAAACACATGACAAAAAATATTTTTAAAAAAACATCTTAAATGGGACATTTGTGCTCGGTCTCCATTTCTCCATGGCTCCAGATAGGGCATCACCTTTTAGCTGGGTTAATAGTTTTGTCATGTGTCGATTTAAAAGCCTCCAGCAATAACACTTCCACATTCAAGAGTGAGATAAAATATAAAACATTTTCTTGTAAACCAGCTCTTTGAAATTTGGATTCTACTTTCATTGGGAATAATATGGATAACCAAGTGCCAACAGCAAAGGGATTATAAGGCTTGTAAGTATTATAAGTATTACAAGGCTATTAAGCATTTTGTTTACTAAGTGTATAATAAGGTGAAAAGGATGTTTGGAGTTTGACATCAGTTGGAAAAAAGGAGGAAAGAAAATGAAAGACACAGTATGGACCGAGCTACCAGGGAAGAGAGGGCAGAATACTGGTTTAAAAAAAACCCACCAGGATGGCAGTAACAGTTACCTCTGAATGCTGGGATCATGGAGACTTTTTCTTTCCTTCTTTATATTTTTAAAAATTTTTCACATTTTCTAAATGGACATTACATTATTTTAAACATTTTAAAAATATTTTTGAAGAAAAGAAACAAATGCTTTGAATGTTTATGCTTAATCCTGGATTTAAAAAAGCCTATAACATACGGTGAATCTAAGAACAGTCTGCTTGTCACTATACTGCTCTATACTGCTTCTTGGAGCAAGTGGACTCAAGTCAAGGTCCCATTCATGTCCCAGAAAACAACTGGCCACCTCGTTGACAGGAAGCAGGGGACAGAGGACAGCGGCAGCTTCTCACAAGCAGTGAAGGAGAAAGCAGCTCTCCACCTGGGTCACTCAGACCAGGCCTGCAGGTGATAACTCAAGATACCATACTCAGCCTCCACTGTAAGCCATGTGGCCAAAGATGCCCAAAGTTAAGGAACAATCTCATCCAACTTTAACAAAACCCTTCTTTTTACTGAAAATTCAGAAAAAAAAGAAATCATCAACCCCAATATTCAAACATACCATCTTGGTCTGTTTTTTCACCTTTTGGGCAGGGAAAGAATACACAGGTGTTTTTCTTCCTCTAGCAAAGCTAGAGTATTACCACATTACGCCAAATATGTGCTTGTTTTCATCGATTAGATCCTAAGAAACTGAACACATCATGGCAGTATTCACCCAAAAGCAGCAGATGACACTGTTAAGCAGAATACCTTTCTTTGTTCAAGTATCCTCCACCAGTAGTCACTTGTGACTTTTCCAAGTATTTAGAGTCTAACTAATGCTGTGCCAGGGCTGTCCCCAAACTTCTGTGTTAAGAATGACTTCCGCCGGGCTCGGTGGCTCAGCCTGTAATCCCGCGCCTTTGGGAGGCTGAGGTGAGTGGATTGTCTGAGCCCACAGGTTCGAGACCCGCCTGGGCAGCGAGATCTCATCTCTACAATAAATCAAAAAATCAGCTGGGCATGGTAGCGCATGCCTGTAATTCTGGCTACTTGGAAGGCTGAGGCGGAAGGATCGCCAGAGCCCAGCAGGCGAGGCTGCGGTGGCCGGGAGCGGCCACTGCACTCCAGTCTGGGCGACTGAGTGAGACTCCAACTCAAAAAAAAAAAAAAAAAAAAAAGAGAATGACTTACTTCATTTTTAGGAGTTACATTTTTTGCTGCCAAGCAAAATCTAAAAGCCCTTTATAACAACTGATAGCTCACTTCAAACGTCAATTTTTTTTTATTTAACAAAAACTAAAAATGACTCCCTTGCACATCTGCTAAAAATTAATCTCATCTGTTAGATAATTGAAACATTTGCCAAGTAAAGAGACAAGATGTGGAAGAAAAAAACTAGTGGGCTTCAACTCTTCACTTTGAGTTGGATTAAGAAATAGGATGGCGTACGTGTGTGTACTTCAGTCACCCCACCCTAGGGGTGCAGGAAGTGAATGCCTCACAGGCTGACCAAGAAACCCTGTCGTGCATTTGCTACCACTAAGGCAGTGATAATAGGAACACTGTTGTAGGGGTCTGTGCGGTGGGGACACATGATGAGGCAGTACCTCTGAAACAAAGAAGTCCCCCTGACAGTTCCCTGCATACTTTGGGAGTAACCTTCCCCCAGTCCCACTGTAGGGGGCTGGTGCTACTGCAAGGTTCCAGGAAACACGAGGTGGCCAAGGCTTAAGAAGACGTAGCTAGCTGGGCTCGGTGGCTCAGCCTGTAATCCTGTGCTTTGGGAGGCTGAGGTGAGTGGACTGCCTGAGCCCACGGGTTCGAGACCCGCCTGGGCAACTTGGCGAGACCTCATCTCTACAATTAAAAAAAAAAATTAGCCAGGCGAGGTAGTGCGCTGCACACCTGTAGTTCCAGCTACTTGGAAGGCTGGGGCGGAAGGATAGCCAGAGCCCAGCAGGTCGAGGCTGCGGTGGCCGAGAGCAGCCACTGCACTTCAGTCTGGGTGACAGAGTGAGACTCCAACTCAAAAAATAAAAAATAAAAGAAATTAAAAAAAAATAAATAAAATAAAAAGAAGATGTAGCTAACATGAACAATCAGGCACAAAGTCAAAGGTGGACAGCTGCACTAAATCATGTTGGCTGTGTCACGAGGACAGGTCCTGTGGACAGTGTCTGTGTGGCAGTGAGTGAACCAGGCAGAGGATCAAGCCCAGTTCCTGAGGGGATCATTCCAGGAGCAGCGAGTGTGAAGCACGGCCCATGTCCTTTCGATAGGGCCCAGTTCCAAAGTACTCCGGATGGGTGGTGCCCTATCCAGGCCAATCTCTTTCCCAGGGATGAGCAGTATAGTATCGAGCAGTGGCTCTGTCCCCATACATTTGGGTAACCAGAGTCTAAAGAAGCAAGGAGAGGAAGAGGCAGTATGGCCAGGCTGAGAGACAGAAGAGGCCCTGGCCCTGTTTTCAACCTCCCTGCTGAGCCCAGTACTCAACCTCCCTGCTGAGCTCAGTTCCTTTTTCCAAGACTGCGATCCAGGGCCCTCCTAACTACCTGTTCCACTGTGCACCCTCGAGGCACGTGGCGGCGGCGCTCTTCTCTTCATCCGTGGTGTTCTGCTCCTGCACGGAGCTGCTGGCGGCCAGCTCCGAGAGCTTGCTACGCTCCATGATCACCATCTCGATCTCTAGAAGCCAACATGGAGAATGGCATCAGCACAGACAGCTTTACAGCCCTAGGTTTACACACATACTCATGTTCAAGAATAAGTATGCAGAAATCACTCCTAACATGTCAAGCACGTGTCCAACTGCGGTGACCTGAACACCAGCCACACACTGGGGGAAAACAAAATGGAGGCCACAGCCTCTCTTTCCATTCATCTCAGGAACACCAAGAAACGCGCACCTGATTTTGACAACAGAACATAAACTGCAACCATTTACTCAATGTCAAGGTTTTTAAAAGATAGCTATTTTACTTTATTGAAACCCCGTTTTCTTCCCAAAGGATTTGAGGCAGTTGAGAAGACAAGACACATGGTTAGTCAACATAACCAAACTCACTGACAGTATTCTGAAGCTACACTGTTTACACTGTGTTTCCCCTTTCTACTTATAACTTCTGGAAGGTACAGACAGGTTAGGAACCTTGTTTTATTTTTTTCCCAATTAAACAAGCGCAGCTTGTAGCAGCCTACTCAACCACGGTGTAAATTTTTAACTTTCAGAAAAAGTTATGAACCATTAAAAAAAATGCTGGATTAAAGATGGATAGAGGTTGGGCTTTAGGGTGTCCCTGTCACAGAGTTCATTGTCTCGTAGGAATGGACCTTCAAATAGTCAGCCCTTGGAACTCAGAGCTCAGGTCATTTTTCCCCTTCTTAGGGAGACACAATGAGGGGGGAAAGATGATAAAATGTGAACCTACATTTACGCTCCTGGAAGGATGTGAACATACACCTTGGGCTCAGACATGGCCTCCACCATGGTCATCCTCCTGGACTCACGCAGGGGCCTCCTAGTTGGCCTCCGTTTCCATTCCTGCCCTTCTAGTTTGTTCTTCACACCAACTCCAAGCGATTTTAAGGAAATCAGTTCATGTCACCCTTCTGTTCAAAACTCCCATCGCCTTCCTTCCCATCACACTCAGAATGGAATCCAAACACCTCCTCATGGCACAAGGCCTTGCACAGCCTGGCCCCGGCCACCTCTGACCTTACCTCCTGGCCCTCTCTGCCTTGCTGACTCACACCACTCCAGCTGTACTTGGTATCTCACTATCCCTTGAACATCCCAAGCTTGTTTCTACTCCCAGGATCTTGACATGGTACTTTTCTCTACCTGGAAGGCTCTCGCCCCAAGTCCTACCCATGTGTGACTCAGGTACATTATTCAAGGCTCGGCTCAAATGTTACCTCCTTGGAGAAATCTTGGATGCCCTCTCCAGTTGTTTTTTCCTTAACTCTTTAAAAATTATTATTAATGGGCTGGGCACAGTGGCTTGTGCCTGTAATCCTAGCACTTTGGGAGGTGGAGATGCTTTGGGAGGCGGGAGGCAGGAGGATCACTTGAAGCCAGGAGTTCAAGACCAGCCTGGGCAACACAGCAAGACCCTGTCTCTATAAAATATTTAAAAATTAGCCAGGGTGGTGAAGCATGCCTGTAGTCCCAGCTACTTGGGAGCCTGAGGCAAGAAGATCACTTTAGCCCAGAAGTTCGAGGCTGCAATGAGCTATGATTGCGCCACTTGCACTCCAGCTTGGGTGACAACATACATAAATATTAACTCAACCTCATACTTTGTTCCTATTTCATTAGCTTTTCCCCAGTGTCCTTTTTCTGTTCATTTAGTCATCATGCTCAGGCTCCCCTGGGTTGTGATAAGTTGCAGACTTTCTTTGCTTGTGATGACCTGGACAGTCTGAGATTCTGAGGAGTTCTTTGATATGGGTTTGTCTGTGTTTTTCTGACAATTAGACTGGGGTTGTGGGTGTGGGGAGGAGGAGCACACAGGAAAGGTGCTCTTCTCACCCATCACGTCAAGGGAACACACTGTCACCGTGGCTGATGTCAATCTCCTGTACTGAGCCAAGCACAGGTTCACCAGCCTCCTCCGTTGTCAAGGTCCTGCTCTCCTCCTCCTCCCACACTGTACTGCATGGAAGAAGGGAGTAAGCACAGGCCATACTTAGAGATGGGGAGTCGTGTCAACCTCCTCGAGTCTCTACTGTATTTGGCATTCTTCTGTGCAGAGATTTGTCTCTCCCTCTTACCTGGCTTTTCCTTTATAGCATTGATAATGACTGGGATTTTATATTCTCTTTTGTTTCCTGCCTGCCTTCCTCCACTAGAACAGGGATTCCCAAGAGCAGCTGCCACATCTGTCTTGTTCTCCACTGTGGCCCGAGTATCTAATCCAGGGCCTGGCACAGAGCAGGTACACAGGGAATATCTCTTGAAGGGGCGAAGGAATAACTGGTCTAGCATAACGCAGGAGGTCTGTCATCAGAGCTGGCAGTGGCTCACGGTGGCTGCGATGTGAGGCAGGGTGGGCACAGTCCCCCAGTCTGTGATGCGCATGTGCATGTGCATGTATTCTTGTGGGGAGTCACCTCAGGCCCCCCACCTCCGAACTGTTGGGTATGACTGTGCTACCACCCCCTGACAAGGAGAAGTGAGTCCCCCACGTGTTCCCATGGGCTCTAGCCTCATGTCAGGCTCACTCTCACCAGCTACCTTTTCTCCCATCTGATCTGAAGTCAGATGCCAGAGATCAGAGACTCTTGGGGAGGGGGTGGCCAGCTCACAGGTGGAAGCCACGGATGCTTACTAAGTGGAAAATGGACAAATGTTTTGCTGACATCGTTGTGTATTTATTTTATTGTGCACTGGAAGAAAATTCTAGCTTCACAGAAAACCTTTTGTGGATACTACTGCTTAGAAAGGAGCTAAGTTTCAGGAAAAAAACAAGTGAATTCAAAGCAAGTTAAGGAGCAATGCAAGCAGCAGCACACGGCTCTGGCAAGAAGCAGGTGGGGATGTAGACTGCTGGCAAGGAACCTCGTTTTTTCCTTGTATTTTCTCCTCCACCAGTCTCCTGCAGGTGCCTTCCCGGCTCCAGCCACCCCAGTTGGCTCCAAAGTGGGTGAGGACTTAAGTGGGCAGGAAGCTGTTTCTGGGCAGCAGGTCTTTTTTACATTTAACTCTTCTCATCTTTGAAAGATCTATTGGGTTTTACACTGCCTGGAACATTAGCAAAGTAGTACAAATATGCGTAATTTATGATAAGCAAATGCGTATGTACTGGGAGATGCATGCTTACATGCGTGTGTTTGTTTGTGCTAACTGATAAGGTGTGCCATCAAAGACATCTGAGGATCTCCAAGCAAGACTGTGAAGTGGTCTCCTCATTTCCCAGCCTCTGACCTCTGCACCGTAACCACAAGCCCCCCTCCCCTGCAAATTCTCCTACCCATGCTCAGCTCTGCCCAGCCTGGCTGACACCGCAGCAACTCAACCCTAAGGTTGACAGGATCAAGCTTGCCATGACATGATTGTCCTCTTTCTGTCTTTTTAATTTCCCTGGACACCATCTGAATTCTGGAGCAGAGGAGAAGTTAAACAAGAGCTAGTATAGTCAAGTGTTTATCCAACATGCTCTCAGGAGCTGGATATGAATCGTCCATGCACACCACCTAGGGAGACGTGGCCAGAGCTCCCAGGTAGGGGAGGGGGACCAAACATCCTGACCTCGGGTTCCCTCATGACACCACAGAGACCCTGTCTGGAATTCTGGGGCTTCACGAAAACTGCCCAAAAACCACTGGCTAGTCCAACCCTAGATGCTGAATATGGGAAAACAGACCCCTGGAGGACATGACTGAATGCCACTGGAAATGCTGCAGTGAGGCCAGGACCACTCTCCTTTCCCACCCCACATCACATCCTGGTGTGTGACCAGGCCCACAAGGGCCTGTCCACACAGAGCAGGGTTTCCAAGCCTCGGCTGTGCAACGTGGTACCCACAGCTACCCTTCCACCACCTGCCATGTCCTCTTCCAGCCAGCACGGTTGTGGAATGAGTAACTCAGATTAATTTTCTTTTCTTTTTTTTTTTTTTGAGTTGGAGTCTCACTCTGTCCCCCAGACTGGAGTGCAGTGGCCGCTCCCGGCCACCGCAGCCTTGACCTGCTGGGCTCCGGCGATCCTTCCGCCTCAGCCTTCCAAGATTAATTTTCTAGATGAATGTAGGTCAGTTCTCAAAGGTTAAAACAGGTTTCCTCCTCCTCCTCTTATTTATTTATTTTTTGAGTCAGGGTCTCACTCTATCGCCCAGGCTGGAGTACAGTGGCATGATCACAGCTACGATCACGGCTTACCGCAGCTTTTACCTCTGGGGCTCAGGTGATCCTTCCACCTCAGTCTCCTGAGTAGCTGGGACTACAGGTACACGCCACCACACCTGGCTAACTTCCTCCCCCTTCTTTTTAACAATTGTATCTAGGTAACTCTTAAAAGCACCAGTTCTTATCTGGGGTCTGCCAACGGGCTGAAATTGTATAAAATGCCACATGGGCATGTGAGTTGTGCGTAAAGGGTTCCCAGCAAGGTGGTCTCTAACAGGGATTCTGCAGCCATCTTTAAAACAGGTGCCAAAGAGAACTGGACCTTTCCTGACGAATCCCTCTTTAGGCCACACCCGAACGTCAGCATGGTCCAGTGCTGCTCTGGGCCCAAACTCCACCTGTTTCTGCTGACACTATGCCTGCTTCAGCATGGCCAGCTTCCCTCCCAGAGTGCGTGCGCCATGCTACTGCCACCAGGGAGAGCAGCTCAATGCGCCTGTGTGAACACAGATTTCCACTGAGGGTCACTGAAGCCGGGACTCAGGCTCTCACGATGGATTCTCAGGGGGCTGCATCTGAACTTCAGTTGTTCTGCCACATGCACCACCCTCCATCACCAGTCAGGCTCTGTCTTGGAGTCCGAGGGAACTGCAGCAATAATTGGTCCTGTTCTGTTCAAATTTCAGTGATTTGCTTGTCTTTACAATTTCTGCCACATCTGTGTACTGCCTGCACTATATGTTATTTACTTAATCCTTTCATTTGAACGACCTCATCTTTTCCTTCACTTAAATACAACTTAAAAGGCAACTTTAACTCGCTACGATACTCTTCAGCCT